ATCTAAGACATTCAGGTCTCATTTTTGCAGCCTCACCACCCAGTTCACTGGGCCTGCGCTGTAGTTTAGCCTCCATCTATGATGCCAGCATCCCACATGGGTGGCAATCTGAGAACTGTACACTCTGTTTCCCACCCAGCTTCCTGTTAATGTGCCTGGGAAAGTCGTGGAGAATGACTCTAAGCCCTTGGGCCCCTGCACCCACGTGAGAGACTTGGAGGAAGCTCCAGGTTCCTGATTTTGGCTTGGCCCAGCCCTAGCCATTGTGGCCTTTTAGGGAGTGACTCACTGAATGCAAGATTTTCTTCCTATAATTTTATCCTTCAACTAAAAATTTTTAAAATTCTGATTTTTATTGGAAAGGCAGATTTATAGACAGAAGGTGAGACAGAAAGATCTTCCACCCACTGATTTGTTCTCCAAATGACAACAGCAGGAGCTGACTTGATCCAAAGCCAGGAGCCAGGAGCATTTTCCGGGTCTCCCCGGTGGGTACAAGGTTCCGAGGCTTTGGGCCATCCTCTGCTGCTTTCCTACACACTTCGCAGGGAGCTGGATGGGAGGTGGAGCATCTGGCCATGAACTGGCACCAAAATGGGATGTGGAAGATTAGCTAATTGAGCCATTGCGCTGGCCCCTATGAATTAAATTTTTTAAACAACAAAAGAGTGTCTGTAAAGACAGAAGCTGAAAAGTTGGGACAGAAAGAAAGCTGAAGGGGCTAAGGAAACCTTCCTCTGCCTTCTCTGACCACTACAACCTGGGCCCAGCACTGCCTGGTGTGTGCCGAGCAGACCAGGGTAGCAGGCCCACCAGGTCAGAGCTGGGCAGCAGACCCCCACAGCCACCCGATGGCTGCTGATCCCAAGTGAGCAGGAATAGACGGAGGGCAGGAAGGTGGTAACGCTCTCTGTGCTCCTCACAGGAACGATGAAATGCAGAGAATGGGACAAAGGACCCATTACATCATCATACAACCGCAAGAAGCAAGCCATCAGAAGTGATCAGAAAGGAAGTCTCCGTCCGCTCACCTCCACAGGCTGAACTAAGACTCCAACTTGGATCACAGACCCACAATGCCCACAGCCAAGCATGGGGACCAGGAACAATAACCAACTGCTGCCCTACACCCATGCCCTTTGTGCCAGTGGCCACACCTGACAGGGAGTGGCCTTTCCCCAGTGTAAAATCACACTTCTTCAGACTTGTCACTGAAACCACCCCTCTCTTGTCTACTCCACATGCAAGCCTGGCACACCCTTCCCGGGGATGCTGTACGGGAGTGGACACTTGCTCTGCTCAGCCAGGACCAAGGAGCGCCCACAGAATTTTCTGTTCCTCTGCCCAAAGGAGAAACACAACCCAGGAAAAGCTTCAATACCCTGGTGTGGGCATGAGCGTGGGTGTGCCAGAAGTGGAACTACCAAGAGAGGAGGCTAAGCACAGGCATCAGAGAAGCTGTGAAAAACTTCCGGGGCAGCTAATGGCACTGACCTTTAGATTTCCGGAGTTTACACAAAAGGCCCCACATGCACCCAGTCCCATCCACCCAGCTTCAGCTCCGTCAGGACCAGCAAACAAACATGCACATTCTTCTAGAATCGCCAGCCCATCCAACACGGTCCTCTCGGCAGGGCCTGCTGATCTAAGACACTGGGCGCTCTGACGTTGGACTGCATGTTGGGAGGTTATGTGGGTGACAAGGGGCAGAAGGAGCACCGAGAGACGAGCAGCAGTTTTGGGCTTGGTAGTGACTAGACCCAAACATTTTAAAGGAAACTGTCAATGGGGCTGTGTGTGGGGGAAGGAGAAGGAAATTATGTCAGCCACCACCAGAGCTCCGGCCAAGGCATTTTCATCTGCGTCTTCATGCCTACCCTCCAAGGGGTGTTTGCGAGAGGAATGTTTTGAAGTAACTCCACTTAGCAACCGGCGTCAATAAAATCTTCCAGGCCTGCTCAGCGGCTGCCATGTACAAAGGTTAGGCACACCACCACCCCTCACCCCAAGCACTCGAAGGAAACAATCTGCCAAAAATGCAGCACGAGCAGCTCAGGGTGAAAAGCAAAATGAGACTATCACTTCAACAGAGTTATTTATAAGGCACTCCTAAGAATATTAAAACAATAGCGACTTTTGTACTGAGTCCTAAGGAAGCGTTAGACTCTGTTCTGATGAGCTGGGATATCACATCTGAGATGAAACCCCTACACTCCCAGCGCTACCCTAGGGAAGGAGCAGGCACTCCTGTAATGGGCATTCTAGAGACCCAAAGGACTCGTCACTCAGCCCGGACCACACCGTATGAGCAGCTGCGCTCAGGAAGCCCGCAGCACGTCCGGCCCTCCGAGGCATACACAGAGGCCCAACTTTGGGGTGATGGGGCTGTCTTTCTCCTTCTTTCTCCTTTGTCTTCTTGATGCCTTTGGTTTTCTATATTTAGTAACAACCAACATGAGAAATGTTCACTTTCTCTCCCAGGAGTCCCAGTTATTTATAATACTGTCACCAAAGGGAAAACATTCTCCTATCCTCCCTCAAATTCCAAAATAGAGCACCTAATCACAGCTGCTATGTGAAAAATACATACTGTCCCCCAATAGAGACCGTCCATGGGAGACAGAAATGAACAGACTGAAAGGAGAGCATGACAGGCAAACTCCTGTGGACACACAGGGCGGGGAGGAGGTGGGCAGAGAAGGCATGTTGGGGGCATATGTTGGCTTGAGAAGCACAGGACTGTCCGGCACTGCCCTGCGGCGGCTGGGCTCAGCTGCCTGCGGATGAACTCAATGCTGACATACTCTCGTAAGTCCTAGAAAGGGCCTAAGTGACTGGATCAGACGCTTAGTGAGCTGACTTTCCTGTGCCTGTTGGCACACATGTGGGCGTTGGGAGGGCACGGACTGTGATTACAGAAATTAACGCAGCTTGCAAAAGAATAGCACTCAGCTGTAAGAAATCAGGGGAGAACATCTAGAACTCGGAATGTTTCTTCGGGATCGCATCTTGTTATATAACACAGCAAAGCAGTAGTCTAAGCAGCTTTTCCTTCCCCCAGCTAGGCAAAAAGCACACAGCATCTCCAACTGAGGATTAAAAAAAAAAGCTGTGCTGTCAGGTGGATACTTTTATTGCAAACCGTTTACACGGGATGAGAAAAATCAGAGATCTCTCCAGGACAGTGGGGAATGTGACCTGCGGCTTCTTAAATGTGTGGTACTGGAAAGCAGAACAGATACCACGCTGCTCCCTGACGCTTGTCGCTTGTCAGCTGAAGGAGTGGGCCCTCAGGAGCGCTGTTAGCCCACCATTTCTGTGGTCAAGGCTACTGACAAAGGTGCCCCCAGATAAACAAGGCCCCAGAAGGCTGTGATCTCCGAGACCACAGAGGAATGTAAAAACAGCCATTTTAAATAAGATCACTGAAAGAGTACTTTTTAAGGCTAACAAAGCTCATGGGTAACAGTCACTAAACAGGAAAGAAACAACAGGAAATCTCTCCTCATGGACTTCCAATGGCAGGGTGGTGGCGGGCCTGCACTGAGTGGATCTGGCCTCAGGACATCCCCAGCTTCCTCCACAACCTGCCTGCTTGATTCCAACTAACCTCCGGGAGACCCTGGTGAAGACAGACATGCTGGGCCAGCTGCAGGCCAGGGGAGGTCAAACAGCAAGTGAGGAGGGCTGACTCCTGACCATGGGGTAAGACCGGTGTGTGCAGCTGGCCCAGGGATGGGGCAGGTCCAGGCAGCCCTGGAAAGCTCGCTCAACCCCAAGCTGGTGGAAAAGTGGTCCACAGCACGACTTTGTCCTCCTCAAACACCAAGGCATCTCCATTGCACCCCTGCAGCTCCCATCCTGAGCCATCCTGCCAGCCCCACAGGGGTGGAGCGGTATCTGCATCCGGCAGCCGTGGTGGTGGCAGCGGCGGCTGCTGCTGCTGCTTGGAGCTGTGCTCGGGTCAACACAGTCATCCTGATCCTTGCATGCACCTGGCATTCCCACATCTGAGAATTATGTCACAGCAGGCGGTGGGGGTGGGTGGGCCAGAGGGCCAGTGGGAATGTGGTTACACAGGAAAAGGTGCAGCTGGCCACCCACCTCCAGCCCCAAGTACCAGCCTCTCTGGAAGATGCAAAGACCTACTGGAGAACACATCCACGGGTGGCAATCATGAAAGCGCTGATTTTAAAGAAGCACCAGGAAGACACCTAAGGTGTCCTGAAAAGCCAGGGCTGACTGTGCAAACCGTGTTGGCAATCCCCAGTAGCACACAGACGTGTGGATCTGCCCCTTCCCCACAGCCGGAAGCACCACGGTTCTCAAAGGTTTCCCACCCCAACAAGGGGACTTTTTATCTGCAGCGTGCTTTTCCTTCTGTGGAGATCTTGCCACTGTGGAGACACCGTGGTGATCAGGAGCTGCAGACGGCAAGGGGAGTCAACTCGTAAGACGCAGGGGCCATGACCCGTACGCAGTTGTCCTAATAACAGTTTGTTTAACTACGAGAACAGGCATCACTCCCGTCCCACTGTCTCCTCTCCCTGCTGCCCAAGCCGCTCGGGGGTCTCGGGGGTCTCGGGGGTCTCGGGGGTCTCGGGGTCTCGTCGGGCCGCCGTCGTCCAGCACAGAGGCCCACGCCTCAGCTTCCGCCCAGCCCCGCTCCTCCGGCAGGCGCTCCGAGCAGCTCCTGCCTCGGGCTTGCGGTCGGCCGGCCGCGGTCCAAGGTGCTCGATACCCACTCCCCCCCAACTCACACACACACAAACACACGGAAGCCACCGCCGCCCCGCGAGGTTTTGACAACTTAAGAGAACGCGGTGAAGACCCCCCTCCCCCGCCGCCACCGCCCCAGCCCGCCTAGGCTGTGACGAAACACAGCCCCGCGGCCCGGGCCAGCTCCGCCCGCCGCGGGCTCGGGCGGCGGCCGGGGGTCCGCGGCCCCGCGGGGGCGCAGGGCGCGCGGGCCGCGCAACGGCGGGCTCGGGCCGGCTCACCTGGTGCGTGTTGTTGGCCAGCTTGGCGACGAAGCCCGGGAGCCCGCCGCAGTCCCCGTCCTGCCGCGGCGCGCTGCGGCGCCAACGGCCGCCGCGGGTGAACAGGCCCCCGGCCGCGGCCGCGCGCAGCCCCCAGCTCACGCCGAGCGGGCCGGACCAGCGCGGCAGGGGCGCGGCGGGCGGCGGAGCGTCCAGCCGATCCTGTCCGAGAGTCGCGGGCGGCAGCAGCTGCAGGAGGAAGAGGAGGCCGAGGCCGCGGGGCCGGCGCGACAGGCCGTCCGCAGCTGCCCGGGGCCGCTCCATCGCCGCCGAGTGCCGACGCCGCTGACACCTGCCGCCCGGCGCGCCCGCCCACCCCCGCCGGCGCCGCGCCACACCCCCGAGCGCGGCGGGGCGCTCCTTGGATACGCGCGGCCAGGCCTGTGCGCCGGCCGGGAAGGCCCGCCTGTCCTTCTTCCCCGGCCCACTCCTCATTGGCTCGCGTCGCCTCCGGCTTCGGGGGTCCGGGATTCGGATGCCAAGATGCGGGACTGATTGGCTGGAACGTGGCGGGGCACGGCTGAGGTCACCCCCTCGCTGGGCGTCTCCGGGGGCGGTCCTCCAGAGATGCCCACCTGCCCTCGAAGCCCCACCTCGCCTCCACGTTTCCCCGGCTCCCCGGGCACCTTCGCTTTGGCAGTGGGCTCCGAGGCCGCCCCTCCGCCCCCCACTCCGGCCCCGACCCCGACAATGCCTGCTGTGGAGCGGCGCCTGGCGGTTGCTCCGGAGTTCCTGGGCCGTCTCGGCTGGGGAAGGGGGTGGGGGCAGGCTTTCGTCAAGAACCGGTGCTGCAGGTTTTAGCCCCCGCTGGCTGGGGCGCCCATTGTCTGCGGAGACAGCCGCCCTGCTGCCGGGGAGTGAATGCCCAGTCCTGCGGAGGCAGATCATCAGGGCTTCTCCGTGACTCACGGGAGCCGCGAGGGAGGCTTTCCGGCGCGTTGGGCCTCCCTCGCCTGCCCCTTCTGTGGGGAGGGTAGGCCGAACGAGGTAGTTTCCTACACGTGGAATGCCTCTCAGGGTTTGGGGGGGGGGGAGGCACGCCAGAGTGTGGAGGGTGGGAGAGGGGCAGAACTGCCCGGTGCCTGTACGTGGCCATTTCACAGGTACGCGTCTGCCCTCGGCGGCCTTGGCATTGCGCAAGTTGGACTTCCAGTACACAGTGTACTCAGATGAGCACCCCAAGAACTAAAACCCCTACACCGTTCCCTTTACAGCAGATGCAGCGGCTGCGCACACAACTTCCAGAACAGGTCAAGCCAGTTCTGAGACCAGAACCTTGGTAATTTTCTCATCCTTCCCCAAAGCTGGAAATCGGCCCACAGGGGGGAAAAAAAAGGCGACAGCTAGAAAGACAGCAACTATGCAAAAACGTTACACTCAGATAAAGCAACAAAATGACTTCTCACCGTGCACCAACAGAAACTCAGATGGAGGGAATGGAACAGAACAGTGCAGTGCACCCAACCCAGTATTTACACAAAATATTCTGGCCATGTTGACTGGCAGAAAGAGGCACAAACTTATAGTAGCCCCCCCCCCCCAACAACACTCGTGTGCTGGGGAGAGGGACAGGGTGGACGATGTTTCCGAATGCCACCTCAGGAGGGTGGGACTGCCACTTCAACAACCGTCCAAGTCTACTTTACGGCACTGACAAAAACCTGATGGAAATTGGTGGGGAGTACTTTCTCCCTTTCCATAACCACCATGTGTCAAACTATGTTTTAGTATACCGAGTATTTGAACTATGCCAAATAAAGAGTAGATCACAAGGCAGTCAGTTCCAGGAGCATGTGATTACTTGGGGGAATATTTCTTTGTTTGGGAGACACAAAGATGAATGGTCTATTGTCTTATGGTTTGAAAAGAATAGACCCCAGCTCAACAGTGCCATCTTCCGGGGAGACGAACAACTACACCTTGTAGCTCTAACTTTGTGGCTATTTTTGCCGTTATTACCATTGTTAATGTGTTGCATTTATTTATCCTGTGCTTACTGTACTTCCTCCAACTATAACAGCTTCTGGGGACACAGCGTCAGCTTGAGAAAATGTGAGTGAATAAACCCAGGATTTCAGTTGTCTGATGTGTTTTCACAGCTCTACCTAATACATCAGCTGGCTATTGTCGGAAGGTGTTCAGTTAATTTCTTAAAGGAATAAGCTGAAGTTGAGATGGGACTTTTCAACATTATTTCTACTAGGATTTAATAAAAGGTATCTCTCAATCAACATATTATAATCAATCAATAAGAAGGATAAATTAGAATCCTGGGCCTGGCACGGTAGCCTATCAGCTAAAGTCCTTGTCTTGCATGTGCAGGATCACATATGGGCACTGGTTCATGTCCCAGTGGCACTGCTTCCCATCCAGCTCCCTGCTTGTGGCCTGGGAAAGTAGTCAAGGATGGCCCAAAGCCTTGGGACCCTGCACCTGCGTGGGAGACCTGGAATAGGCTCCAGGCTCCTGGCTCTGGACGGGGCAGCTCTGGTTGCTGCAGCTGCTTTGGGAGTGAATCAATGGATGAAAAGATCTTCCTCTCTGTCTTCTCCTGTCTGTGTATCTGACTTTCAAATAAGAAAAAACAAATTAATATACCAGAGTACTGTCCTGTGTGTCCAGTGCAGAAAAAATCCTCCCAAATGCTACCTGTCGCTGCAGCTTCCAAACACATCACAGCACAAGCTTCTGTTTGAGCTACAGAATGAATTAGGAACTCAGCCTATTCAAATGGTCATTGCTATTATAAGACTAAACGCAGAGTCCAGCAAGTAGATGGACTCATCAGTGAATTCTCATTAATGAATTAATTTTACAAAATCCATGAACTGGACATGGGGACGGCTCAAGAATCTCAAATTTCCATAAGATTTCCCTAATTGAAGTGCAGGCTGACAATTTGAAACCAGAAATTCAAGACCCAATGGCTGAATTTGCAGTGTCCATAGCCACTCCTATTTGTTTACTAATGACAGCCACATTCTATGGTTATTGTTTAGGACCAAATGCAGTAATCCTGTAATCACCTCAACCAGTCATACGACAACAGCTCTACTGGGGGACATGACAACATATTCCAAAGTTTCACAGAAACTACTGAATTCTGCAATTATTTTACTCATTTGGCTGATTTGCAATTGATCGCCAGTGAGGCCCTAAATGTGTATTTTTTAATGGCCCTTAATGAAAAGGGAAATCTCAAATTGTTCATCAAGACACAAAAACTAGTTCAACTTGGCAGATGACTTTGAGGAAGGGCACATGTCATGCCTTTTCCATGAGCAGTGAATAGCATCTTTGTCAGATATGGAATGCAGCAAAAAATACCTACTGACAGGAGAAACCACAGAAGCTGGCAGAATGGCATAGTGGGTTACCCTTAGTCTGCAGCGCCAGCATCCCATACGGATGCTGGTTTAAATCCCTGTTGCCCAACTTTCAGTCCAGCTCCCTGCTAGTGTAGGCCAAAGTCATGTGGAAGAATCGGCAGAAGCTCCTAGCTCCTGCCTTCAGACCAGCTCAGTTCTGGCAGTTGAGGCCATTTGGTGAATGCACCAGCAGATGGAAGCTCTGCCTCTCCTGTCTGTAAAAATCTGCCTTTCAAATAAGAAAAAGAGAAACCAGTGGTATTAACATCTACTCACCACCAGGAGGAGTTGGACGAAGTGGAGTTCCTGTGCCAAGACCCAAGGGGCTGGTTGATATAGAAAATCATTCCAAGGATTTTAGAGCAGAGGCTTCCTAAGGACGCAGATACGAATAGTGCTATGCTGTTTGGCCATTAACACAAGCATTTCAGAGACTGCATTTTAAGAGAACAGAATCTACCACAACTATCTTAAAATTGTCTTTATTTCAGAATTGTCTTTATGTACAGACATCATAAAAAATGCACACAGACTGGAGATTTTCCAAGGAATAGAAGCTGGAAATTAAATTTAAGGGCAATGAAGAAAACTAAAATTGTCCCAAAAAGTTTTGAGGTCCACACTTCCTTAAATGTCCTTGATAACTTCTTCAAGTTCTTCCTTTGTGAACATGTGGAACTTCTGGCCAGGCTGCACCGTGGCGAGCTGGAAAGAAAACCAGAGAAGGGTTCATGATCTGGGCTCCATCACCTGCCCCCTGATGCAGCTGTCCCTGAGGCACAAAGGGATCTGCTGTCCCCAGGACAGCCTTTACAGGCCGCAAGGCCCCCAAATAGCTCTCTGACTCAAAAAAAAAAAAATTCTTACTGACCAATTTTCTATTTTCAGTTCAACCTACCACATAATAGTTATCCAAATGCCCAGCATCACTGTCACCTCCTGGTTATTTCAACAAGGCTCACATGGACTGATTGTTTTTCTGGTAGGGCAGATGCTCATTAGCCTGATGGTTGAAATGCTGGTTGCAATACCCATATCCCAGACTGTTCACCTTGGCCTCTTCTGAGAGGCTGGGTTCAATTCCTCAGCTCCTGACTCCAGCTACCTGCTAATGCAGACTGGGAGGCAGTGTTCACGACTCAAGTAATAATTCCTGTCCCCCCATGGCAGACCAGGACTGAGGTCCCAGCTCTTGTCTTCAGCCTAGCTCAGTGCTGACCACTGCAAGCATGTTGTGGGGAGTGAACCAGATGGAAGCTTACATGCTTTCTCTATCTCTGCCTCACAAATAATTTCTTTTAAAAATATTCCTCCAGAAGTATATTTAAAGCACATTTATACTTGAAAGTTGACCTTATGTGTATAAGCTCATGTTGCTTGGCCACTCTGTACCTTTATATTTTCTCATCTATAAAACGGAAACAGAAGTTGTGAGGATTAAATGCTAATACTTAGAAAAGGTCTAGGACAAAATAAACATCAATGTAGTAAATGCTATTCCTGCTTTCTAATATGTTTTCTTCATATTTAACTAACCACCAGGTTTTCAATGATCTAGGCTAATGACACTAATGGCACTTTTCTCTAAAGCTGTTCATGTTTCAACCTAACAACCCAAACATTTATGTATATTCATTTTGTTTGAAAGGCAGAGAGATACTGACAGATCTTGGTTTATTATTCAAAAGGCAGTAACAGCAGGGTTGGCCAAGGCAAAGGCAGAAGCCTGGAATTCACTCCGGGATTCCCATGTGCACGGCAGGGAACCACTGCCTGCTCTGTCCCAGCGTGTGAGCAGCAGGAAGCTGGCTCAGGGCAGGGAAGTCACAGCTTGAACCAGGCACTCCCATCTGGGAAGCAGGTGTCCCAATTATGCCAAATACCTACTCTCTGCCTTGTGTTTAAATTACTGGCCACAGACGGAGTCCATTAAAATTGGCATCCAAA